AAAATCCACTTCCCCCCTCCAACTGGAATAATGTGTGTGTTACAAAAACACCGAGAGACCCTTTCAAAAAGCAACTGTGTGCTCTGCCTGTCTTCAGCTTTTTTGTATTCCCTGGGAAAGCAATGCCAAAATGCTGTATTATTGCTGTGCTCCGGCTGTAACCACAGAGTGAAATAACTGCTGTCTTTGCAAACGCCTTATTTGCAAAGACAGAACTGGGAGTGAGGGGCAATGTGGGGAGGGGGTGACTGCAAAGCACTTCGAATGAGATTATTAGTTCACTTTAAGAGGGAAAAAGAGAGAAAGGGAAGCAACCCTGTTATGTCCAAAATGCCTCGTACAGTAAATCTAACCATTCCAGTCATCTCGAGCAGAGTTCAGAGCATTTCGTAATGTCTGTAAGCAACCACATCTCACTGGGCTGGGTGCAGAGGGGTCTAGTTGGTGGCTGATTGGTTTGGTTTGGGGCTGGGATTTTCCCCCATTTGTTTGTTGTTGCAGGGTGGGTTTTTGTTTGGGGCTTTTTTTGTTTTTTTTTAAGGTTTATGGTAAAGGCTAAAAATAAACAAGTCTCTGAATGGGAAAATCAGCCTAAGTCTGATGTGGTGAAACTGAACAGCAACTCAGTGACATGTCTGATGGCAGAAGAGACACCACTGCAGCCAACTTCTGGAATCAGACGTTCCTAAGGGAGGGGGGAAGAAAAGAGGGGCCAGCGATTCGCTTTTAAATATGTGTTGCTCAGTACTGCTATTGGCGTACATGCGGGCTGGGGAGGTGGTCTTCAGCCTGTGCTGGAGGGATAGGGGCGACCGATGTAAATGCGCGGTTTATGTTACACACGTAGCGAGAAGGAGAGAGCGGGAGCACAAGCGCGCACATTACAGCCCATTGTAAAAGCCCTGTTTATGAATCAGCTCCCAGCTGGAGGGTGGGCTGCCAGGGCTTTATAGACATCCAGGGATAATGTCTGTGTCTGTCGGTGTCCACCAGAGCTGGGTGTGCCTGGAGCTCCCCGATGGGAGAGAGTGGGGAGTGGGTACCGCAGAACTGATTTTCTAAGACCGACACTGGGAGATGGAAGGCAGCAGGAGGGGGGAATAAACTATGTATGTCCTGATGTCTCTCACCAAAGCAAGCTAAAGCTGCTGTTTGGAAATGGTTGTGTCCGGGAAGAAGCGCGAATTTCCCCCCCGTTCTTGGTGCAAACGGTTGAGTGATGGCTGGACATGTTTTGAATAGCTAAGTGACTTCATTGAGCGATGGTCTATTTGACGCATACTGCATTTAGTGCCCTTTGTCAACCCAAACTGCTGCCTTTTAACATATCCTGCAGAGGAGCTCTATGCTGAATACTATATGCTGTCTCCACGCCAGAAAATCAATAGCAGTAAATTAATGGGGGATGTTTTAAACACACTCACTCACACACACGCACACATTTCCTCCAAACAGGTAAATATGTAGTGGTATATATTAATAAAAAAATGAAAAGTCTTTCACACAGCTATTCATTACAACTGGGGAAGGAGACATCTCCTTAATTATAAATTAATGAGAGAGGGAAGGGAAAAAAAAAAAAAAAGGAAGCCCAAATGCAAAGCCATGCGGGGAAGGGAGGCTGCAGGGAAGAACTCCCTTCCTGAGCCGTGTCCCCAAGCCGGAGGGTGGAGGAGGCTGGGGTGGAGGCAGGAGGTATGAGGACCCCGGCCGGGAGAGGCAGTGAATTCAGATCATGTCTATCTGCCCACAGAGCCGTACCCAGAGGGACGGGTCTGAGGGGGAGGAGGAAGGGGCGGGTGAGGTTTGTCAGATCGGAGGAGCTTGGGGCTCCTTCTCCTTTACATCTGACAGGACCCCACAGGCACTGTGGAGAAGTGGCTTGCATGGCAAAGGAAAGTGCCAGGATGCTTCCAATTAAAAGCTTAGAAGTGTCCCCAGCCCCCCCCCCAACGCTGCACTGCCAGCCCAGTCCCCCTGCCCTCCCTGTTGATGCTCTCCAGTGGGCTCAAACTGCAGCCCTGCATGAGGGGTGTGAAATGCAGCCTGAGCACAAGCTGCGTGGCCCTGGCAAGGTGCTCTCTCACTCGCCCCAGCCATGTGAGGGTTGGGCTGGCCTGTTTCCCCAGCCCCTGGACGCTGGGCAGAAGTGGTGAGTGGGGTAGGAGGGTGCAATGCACCACACAGGAGCTGAGCCCCGCTCTGAGTCCCTAGCCTGAGGGCACAGGTTGTACCAAAACTTGGATAAAGGCTCATTAGCAAGAGCATCTCAGCAGGAGGCAAAACCAGCCCTGTGGCCACATGCTGAGCAGGGCCTGGGCATGCGTTTGCCTCATGGGGTGGCACGGCACAGGTCTGGCACTGCCGCTGCCGGGATGCCTCCGCTTGGCTTCCCGCAGCCCCACATCCTGCATGGGCTGGTGGCTGGCACTCTCTTGCTCCCAGGGCAGCACAGCCAAGTATCCCCACCAGCCCCTGAACGACAGGCCTCTAACTGTCACGTCTGATCACCTTAGGGGGGGGTTATCTTCTTTCTCGGCAGAAGGAATCAGAAAAGTGTCCCTGGTTTACTTGCTCTCCCTGGTGAGAGCTACCTGCTGGTCAGAGGGAGGGAGAAAGGTGCAGCAAAGGCTCCTTTCCTCCATGATGCAGAGGGTGGGCAGATTTGTGGAAGGAAGGGCTTGGTCCCAGGAGGCTGTAAAAAGGGAAAAACCCTTGGATTCTGCTCACACTCTGCCCACGGTGTGGCAAAGCCACCCGACAAAAGGTGTGGGACAGACAGGCTTCTGCTGCCTGGGGTGGGTGTCAGGGCAGGTCTACAGGGTGAGGTAGTGAAGAGGAGGGCAGGAGGCTTTGTAACAAGAAAATAATCAAAGAAGGAGCCCAAACTACCTCCTGCTACTGGTAGGAAGCCTCTGACGAGGTTGCCTTTATTTCTAGGGATGTGGGGGAATGCTGGCACTAGTCAACACTGTAGGCTGTCAGAGATGGTGGGCTCCTCCTGTGCAAAATATTGTGCTAAATTGTCTTTTCTGTTCTTGGCCAAGATATCCAGTAGTAAAAATGGACGTGGAGACTCAGTCTCAGGCTGTACACGCAGATACGCTGCGGTCAGAATTGCAAGTTCCTCTGAGAATTTGGTCCCCGGGCTTTCCATTTTCAGGTTCCCCACTCTTCATTCTGTTCCCCACAGCGGACTTTCAGTCAGCATTTTCAGATCTTTGTGTTGCTCCAAAGAGGAGTGTCATTTGGGATGTTCCTCCTCTGTCAGGATTTCTTTCCCCTATTTCTTGTGTCCTACAGTGAGCCCCTGCTCCACGGTGGGGCTAAAGCAGAAAGGTGGTGCCGGTTCACATTACTGCAGATCACACTTCTGATTTTTTTCCTAATCTTCCTTGAGATAATTCTTTCCCAGTCTTTGGGGTTGCCCAAATATGTCCCCAGGCCATTCAAAAATCTTTGCCCTTCAAGAAAAAGGGCCTTTCTCAGCCCTTTAACCTCATAGGCACAAAACACACACGTACACCAAGCAATTGAGATCTGCAAGCTCATGCCACACATGGATACTGCACCTCTTAAAACTTTGAAATGGCTGCAGATCTTCCAGCCTAATTCCTTCTTGGCACCGAATGCTTTAAAACCACTTTTTATTATGAGTGATGCCGTGTCTAAGTCTTTCATTAGCTCCTGTAGATCTCCTACAGGATCTCAAAAAGTGAGCAACGATGCCCTATCAGGGTCTTATGAAGCAAGCAAATGAAATGTATTTTATATCTGTAGGTTATTGGTTTTGTCATGTTGTCATTATTATTAGGAAAGGGATAGGTCTGGGAGGCTTTTATACTGAGAAGGAGGGAGAGAAGAGTCCAGGGCAGGCAGGCATGAGTGATGCGCATGGGGTTAGACATCCCTGTAGATCTGACTGGTGTGAAGGCAAGTAATTGAATCGATGTTGGTGCAGAAAATAATTCCTGCCTAGAGACCCTTCCCAAGGAAAATTAATGAGCTGATCTGTTCCCTTTCCAGCTTGTTATATCTGAACAGCACATGAGAGTTAAGTGCAGTTTCAGTGTTTGCACAAATGAAGAGCTGACAGCAAAGTGAGGCAGGGCACAGGCAGCGGACAAGCTTCTGCCAGACAATTCTGGCGCTGCGTCGCTTCCTCGTGCTGCCTTCTCCCACTGCTGTTTGCTCCTGGGCCACCTCTTTCCTTTCACACCCATCTTATGAATGTTTTTTTCCTTATCTTCCCTCTTGCCTTTCACCGATTTCCTTTCTTTTACCCTTCGTTTCCGTCAGTGTCCCTCGTTTTGCACTGCGCAACTGCCTGCCGTCCTACTTCCAAGAATCCACAAATCTGCTGGGGTCCTTTCCCCTGACTCTTGCTGTCCTAATCTAGGGGCTTTTCTGAAGACGCAGTGAAAATAGCAGTAGATTAAGTCAGGGACTCCATGTCTTCGCCGTTCAGGACCAGGAGCAGCCTAGCACAGCCCTGAGATGCAGCAGGAGGCAATGGCCCGGCACATAGCTGATTGCTGCTGGCATTGCATCTGCCGAGGAGAAGGAGGATGCAGAGCTGGACAAGCCTTGGATGAAGAGGAAGACAAAGGATTTTAAAAAGTAGAGTGGCAGATGGTGAGAGAGAATTACTCAGGATCCCAGACTTGGGTGGGTTTTGTTCTCCTCTCAGGTTAAATTCACACCTGACTGTAAGTCACCAAGAAGGTAGGGATTTGAGGCGCTGAGACCTGCAAGCTCAATTCCTTTGTAAGATTTGACAAGGAAATGCTGTTCCTCACCAGTGAGTTTCTAGAACTGACTTTTAAATTGCTTTTAA